AACGACGTCAACTGGGGCCGTCGAAACATCAGGCCAGGACACCAGGTCCTTGTCGTAGGGCTTGACGCGCTGGGAGTCCGAGGAGCACCCAGGCGCCGACTCGAGCAGCTCTGTCACGGCTGCTTCGCCCGAGTGAGCATCCGCATGGTATTCAGAAGGAAGCGGAACATCTTGATAGGCCCGAGAGATGATCCAGCGCACTCGCCTGCGCCGCCAACGCCGTTAACCCAGGCGGGGAACGCGCAGGAGAGAAGTGGCCGCTCAGCTGTTTCAGGGCTGCGATGCCGTCGTTGGCCCATCTCCGCCAAGCAGCGCCGCGCTGGTCGCGCTGGCGCCCCCGACGGCTGCGGCAAGCTTCCACGCGAGCGCCCACCGCCAGAGCTGGTAGGGTGAACACATTGCGCTGACGAGCTCCAGGGTCCATCGCGACAGCACTGGTGAAGGCGCAGCCCCCACGAAAAAGCAGGACTCGCCCAGGCGGCGCCGAAGCGCCTGCACCCGCCTGGGAGAGGCTCTCGAAAGGCTATGCGCGCGCCGCCCGCTCCTCGCGGGCTTTGCGCCTCTCCTTGGCGACGGCGGCCCCCGCCCTCACTTGGTTAACGATGAAATCCGCGAGGGCTGTCCCGACGCGCAGGTGGCCCTGGCTCGCCGACGCCCCCATGTAGCGGTGCACTCCCACCGCCGGCAAGCTCTCACTGGCAGCTTCGGCGCTGATGTCCTTCCCCGCCTTCTTGTCCTCCGCGGCCACCTGCGTGGTGGCGGTGCCCTCGTAGCGTCGCCCCTCGGCGAGCTGGCTCTGGCGGCAGATCAGCTCGTGCGACGCGCACTCCGCGTAGTTAACCTGGTCGTAGCAACTGCCTAGCTCGGGCATCCTGCCGTTCATCTCGTACTGCGGGCAGATCGAGTCCGCGTCGCGCAGCCTCGTATCCGCCCCCCGCTTGGAGCGCCACGCCAGCGGGCCGCTCGCGCCGCGCCTCAAGTGGTCCAGGCGCCACTGTGTCGTCCGAGAACCGATGATCGGCCCGTCCGCCTGGGGCGTGGAGGAAGCCAGCAGGGCCGCCATGGCGAAGACCAGCGCATGCCGCCCAGCCGAGTCGCGCACCATCGGGTGCACGCGGCAGCCCAGCAACGCAATCCGCTCGCGATACACTGCGGGTCCTCTCTCACGATATCGAGAGGCGTGCACCTCACCTGGCCGTGACATTCTGGATGGCGGCCCTCGTCTGCCGTGAAGCCAACGGGGGAAGCTGCGCGACCGAACGGCGCCAAGCCCTCTGCGCCCGCGCTGAGCGCCTCCGAGGGGGCGGACGCTCTCACACTCACTGCCTGCGACCGCCAACTCCCGAGCGCGGGCGCCACGAAGACGCCCGCCAGCGGCCCGAGGCAGAAGAACACGGTGTGGCCGCAACCGCCCGTCGAGACCTGCAGCGCGTGGGGCCCGTCGAAGTGCGGGCAGGAGACGCTGTGCGTCTGGGGGCACTAGCGCGAACAGACGGGGCACGCGGGAGACGATGAGGGCGTGGCCGACCACGCCACCAGGGCCTGCGAGGCGCCGCGCGAGAGATCCGTAAGGAAACGCGTGGCGGCGGCTAGCCTGCCCCTCGAATGCTTGAGCACAAACATTGCATATGTGCGGCCACTGAAACCCTGTCCCAGCACGCTCCACACTAAAGTTGTTACCATGATGGTGGTGGTCCTGGGCGCTCGTGTGGACTGACCTTGTAGATCTCGGCACAAGACTCATTCGAGAGATCTCGAGGCTCGTGGGCGTGCTCAGTGTTGATGATGCTGTTGCTGGTCAGCATGAGGTGATAGCAATTTCGATTCGCAACATCCCCCGTTGATTATCAAGTTCGTCCTCCGCGCCTAGGAGGAGTCGGCTTGCGGGGGGGGTCGGGCGCGCGGGAGGCGGGCGGAGGCGTCGCCGGCGCCCCGCGCCCCCGGGGGGCTCCATGTTGGATTTCCCAGGCTGCGCCAAGCGCGCGCACGCGTTACTTGCCCGCGCGCCCACATTCGCGCAAGCGCATCCTAAGAAACTATGATTTGGATCGGAACCGGGCGACAGAGGGCATGGTGCGCCTGTCGAGGCTGCTTCTGGGAGCGACTGCTGCTGGCTCGACACGCGCGATATGCACGTGACGACTGTTGGAGGACGGGCGCTGCGCCGTCCAATCCAACGCGGCAATGGCGCGGTCCGGGGCGCGCGGCCGTCGCGGCACACGGCGGTCGACGTGGCCGCACGGGGCGCGCGATCGGCCGCGCGGTATTTGCGGGCCATTCGGCCGACGCTGCCGGGTCGCCCTCAAACAGCCCGCCAGGAATGCGCAAATGCGCAATGCGCCAGCGCGCCGCCAGGATATCGCCCTGAAAAGAACCTGTTCACTCTGAACGCCGACTGCGCGCCTCGCTGAACCAGCGAAGTCGCGCGGCGCGCCCGCGCCGCGCACCCGCCGCAGTGAACTCGCGGGAAAAAGGCCTCTCTGCATGAGTTCTGGCACCGATTCTGGCCTACTTCGCCGTTCTGGCCGATTCTGGTTCCATCGCCGATTCCACCTTTGATTCCGTATTGATTCCGTACTGATTCTTTTGATTCCGCTAGAATCAGGGGTCGCAGTTGTGCCGATTCTGTTTTGATTCTGTACTGATTCCGTACTGATTCCTTTGATTCCCCTGTGCCCCGGAGACCATCAGGCCGCGGCCCGAGCTCCCGCCTCGGCGGCGTGGTTTTTCCAGGAGCGCGGAAGAGTTTTGAGGGGGAGGGGGGCGGGGGGGGGGGGCGGGGCGACTTTTGGGGCGCATCGGGCGGCCGAGCCACAGATTTCCGGGTCCAGTGCGCGCGCCCAACATGGCAGGCGCGGGCGCGCGCGCGAATTCTCGACCGTCGGCGCATCTGTAAGTTCATGCACCGCACCGCGCGCGGGAATGGAAACTTGCGTTGCGGTTTCAAATTGAACGCGCGGCCGTCGCAACTGCATCGCATTGCTCAGCGCGCAAAGCGCGCGAGCAGCATGGGGGGCTTTGCGTTCTCGCATTAGAAGTGCGCGGGACCGAACCGAACGGTCGGCGGCGCCCGCTCCTGCGCGCGCGCGAGGCCATCGCGTCAGCGCGGGAGGCTACAAGGGCCTGGGCCGTCGCCCTGGGGCGCGGGCGCAGCGCGAGGCCTGCGCGGGTCTCTCGCGCCAAACATGCGCAACAAGGTCGGCCCGCCCGCCGGCTGGCGCTCGCGGGCGACGACGCCAGCGCCGACTGCGAGGCCGACTGGGCCAAGAGGATTCCTGAGAGCCCCAGGAAGGGGCAGCGGGCCGCGATGGAATCGGCGCGGTCGTTGGCGCCCCCCCCGCGCCCGCCCCCCCCTGCAAGCCGACTCCTCCTATCCGCGCCCCTCTCCACAACTAAATCCTATTGAACGGGGATAAGAAATAGAGGGGGTGGAAGGGGGGGTCTGATTTATTATCGTCCGCGCGCGGTTACGGTGTTGCGGAACTCCTTCTGGCGGAAACGGCGGGGCGTCTCTCCCTGGGGACGGGCAAACACGTGCGAGCCTTCCTTGAGACCCGGCTGCTGACGCGCGCGGGGTCGCGGCTGGTCCGACGGGTCGTGCCCCCCGCCGTTGCCAGCGGGGCCAGCCATCAGGGCGGCCCAGGCGGCGGCGCCTGGCGCCACGTGGCTGGAACACGCCGACCGCGCGTCGCGCGACCTTGGCGTCGCCACCCAGCCGGCAGCCCTGGCTTCAGCGATTGGCTCGGCTCGCCGCGCGCCCAAGGAGGGCATGGGCCCGCGTGGTATGCGATCCCCCGCTCGAAGCGGCGGGGGCGAAGTGGTCCGCAATGCGCAAAGCGCGCGGTGCGCCTGGGGGACGACGGGCTCGATTCGCTCGCGGACTTGCTTCCGCTCTGGCAGCCGTGGCCGCAAATGTTCTGGTGGGCGCCGCGCCATGCGCCTGGGCAGTGGCACGAGTCATGGGCGACGTGCTTGCCCCGGTACGGGGGATGCCGCCGCCTTCTGGAGCCCCCTGCCGACTGCGTGGCAGCGTCGATTCGGGCCTCCAACAGGTGCCCAGCAGTCGGAGGGATCTGGACGGCCCTTTGCGCCCGCCGGCCGCCCATGCCCGCGGGGCGACCCGCGAGGGCACTCGGCGACACGGCGGACCAGAACGCGCTGGAAGTGAAGGTGCGTTTCGTCGGCGCCGTCGCAGCCGCAGCAGCAGCGCACGCCCTCAGCGTCAGTCCTGTGTAAACGCTGATTTCCCCTTTTCCCTTCCCCCCCCTGGCTTCTCCCTTCGCCATCCCCCGCCCGTCGTTTCCTCCCCCCCTTCCCGCGGAGGGCCTTTCCCCAGGGCTCTTCCCCTCCCTTCCCCGCCCGTTCCGCCTTCCCCCCTCGGCTGCACAACCTTCCTTTGTTTTTCCCCGCCGCTGATCTCGCATCCCGCTTCCCCTTATCCTGCCCTCCCTCCTTCGACCCTTTCCTTTCCTCCCCTCGCCCGCGCCCTACTCACCTCTTCCCCCCCGCCCTCGGGAGGGAGGACGGACCGCTGTGCGGTGACGTTCGGCACCCCTGGCGTAGCTGCCGTAGGCCCAATGGGGCGGTTGCTCGTCCCGTCGGGATGTGAACGCGGTCGAGGGGCTAGACTATCTACCGCAAACCACCGGCCTGCATTTGCACCTCCCCCCTGTACTCCTCGTCCTCGCTCCTCGAACCTCGATCATTCCTCCCGCCCCCTCCCCACCCACTCCTCAATGATGAGTAGCGCGGCGGCCCGCCACCAGTCCCTCTTCAAGCTTCGCTGGCAACGGGTGAGGGTGACCATGATGTGTATGAGGCAACTTACGCACTCCTCCCCCCACATCCTCCCACTCCATCCCTCCCTCCTCCGATCCTCCCTCCCTCCTCCCGCCCGCTGCCTCCTCGTCATCTTTCCCTCCCCCCCCTCCCCGTCCGCGCGCGCGAAGGAGGTGAGGGAGAGGGTGGAGGGAGGCGGACGACGACGCCGGCCAGGGCTCCTGGCGCGGGCAAGCTGCCCAGGGCGAAGCCGCCCCCCGCCGCAAACCCGTTGCCCCCGCGGGCGAGGAACTCGGCGGCGACCCGGCCCATCGCCTGCCGCGAGGGGGCGCGGGATCCGCCTCCCGTCGTCGTCGCCGTCGCCGCCGCGGCCGTCGTCGGGGGTCGTTGTCGTCGAAGGAGGGCGAAGACGGAGAAGGAAGAGGAAGAGGAGGGGAGGATGGGGATCTCCTTCTTTCTCTCACCCTCTTCTCCCTGCCTCCCTCCTCTCCCTCCACTCCCTCTTCCTTCCGTCCTTCCTTCCTTCCTTCCGTCCTCTTCCTGCTCTTTCTCGCCGCGGTCCCCAGCCCCCGACACCGTCCTTGTCGTCCTGATCGTCGTCGTCGTCGATGCCGCCCTTCTCGACTGATCCAACCGTTGACGATCGAGGATCAATGTTGGAGTTCATTGGGCGTTGTTGGTCCTTTGGGGGCCTTTCAAAAACTCTGGGGACCTTTGGTCGTCGTCATCGTCGTTGTCGTCGGAAAGCCTCCTCCTCAACCTCCTAGTCCTCCCTCTCCTCCTCCTCCTCCTCCTTCACTTCCTCCTCCTCCTCCTCCTCCTCCTCCTCCTCCTCCTCACCCATCATCATCACCATCATCATCATCATCATCATCATCATCATCATCATCATCACCACCACCATCATCATCATCAGCATCATCCTCATCACCATCACCATCACCATCATCACCATCATCACCATCATCACCATCATCACCATCATCACCATCATCATCATCATCATCATCATCATCATCATCATCATCATCATCATCACCATCACCATCACCATCACCATCACCATCACCATCAACATCATGATACCGGAGAAACAACCCAATCCGATTTTTGTTAGGGCTATAGGGCTATAGGGCTATTGGGCTATAGGGCTATACGGCTATCGGGCTATCGGGCTATAGGGCTATCGGGTTATAGGGCTATAGGACTGTGACCCATAGGGCCATAGAGCTATAGGGCTATGGGGCTATAAAGCTATATGGGCTATGGGTCTGTAGGGCTATAGGGATATAAGGCTATTTGGGCTATAGGGATATACGGCTATAGGCCTACAGGGCTACAGGGCTATAGGGCTATAGGGCTATAGGGCTATAGGGCTACTGGGCTATTGGGCACCCCCGGGCACCCGGGCACCCCCGGGCACCCGGGCACCCCCGGGCACCCGGGCACCCGGGCCCGGCCACCGAAATCGGCCACCCGGGCACCCCCGGGCCCCCGGGCACCCGGCCCCGGCCACCGAAATCGGCCGCCGACCTCATCTCAGCTTTATATCCGCTAGGACCCCTACAGAAGCAAGCTCTGATTGGGGAATCACCATCACCACCATCACCATCACCATCACCATCACCATCATCATCATCACATCATCACCATCATCATCATCATCATCATCATCATCATCATCATCATCATCATCATCATCATCATCATCATCATCATCATCATCATCATCATCATCATCATCATCATCATCATCATCATCATCCGTCCCAGGCCCTCCAGCACCTCCACCTCTGACCCTACCGCTCCTCCAGCTGCTGCTGCTCCTGTTCCTATCCTTCTCCTCGTCCTCCCCAATGTTTTCCTCTTCCTCCTCTGTCTCCGCCCTCCTATCTCCTTCTCTTTCTTCCTGTTCCTGCTACGCCTTCCCCTTCTTACCTTCTTCCCTGCTGTCCCCGCTGCCAATCTTACCCCATCCTACTCTGCCATCTTTTCCCCACTTCCTCCGCCTACTCCGCCTCCATCCCTCACCCCCTCTCTGCTCCCCACCCCGAAAGAGCCCGCCAGAACTCATAGAACAGCCTTGCACCGTGCATAGGCGCCCTCACAACACAACCAGAGCTGAACCATCTGAATGACACGGCACACACGGCACGGCACGGGCACGGCCCGGCACGCGGGCTGGGAACATAGGCTTGCGCCAACGGCATGTATGCACTGCACGGCACAGACCACGTTTCGCACTCAAGAACTTCGGCACGACACGGCACAACACCACATGTGTTGCATTCTGAAGCTTCGGCATGGCATGGCTCGCGATTGGCGCATTTCTCGCATTCGGGAACTTCGGCACAACACGGGGGCGCCACATTTTTCCGCATTCCAGAATTTCGGCGCGGCACGGCACGGTACGGGGTAAGTTGTTCGCATTCGCGAACTTCGGCGCGGCACACCTCTCATTCTAGAACTTGGGTTCGGCACTGCACGCGCACGGCACGGTACACGGGCGGCACATTTTTACTCTCTGGAGCAGGGAAACGAGTTCTTGCAAAAGCGAATGGGACCCCCATCGTACTCGCTGCGTAGGGAAACGCAATCAAAATCTTCCCCTCCTACTTTACGCGGCGAGCGAGGGGGGAAATGAGACGGAGATGGCCATCTCAGACGGCGGCGGGGCTTCTCATACGGCCTCTGGCCTTCTGAAGGTTTTTGCACCCTCGGGGGAATTTAAACAACTTCTCGACAGGCTGGGGGGCCTCCGAGCCTTCTGAAAAAAAACTCAGCCCCTTCTCCTTTCCCCCCCTCGCTCGCCGCCGGTACATCTCGTCCTCGTCACCAGCGCCGCCACCGCTGTCGGCCGCTGTCGCGCAGCGAGCACGCGCGAGCCTCGGCGGACGCGGTCCCGGGAGGGAGAGCGTGCTGGACCCCGGACAGTGCGTTCCTCGGGCGGCGGCACCGCCGCCGTCGCCGTCACCGTCGTCGGTGGGCGCGGTGAACCCTGGACAGGGCCCTCCCTGGGCGTCTACGGGGGCGGAGGCGGATTCCCCTCCCTTTCCCTCCGCCTTCCCCTCGTGCGAGTATGGGGTTTTTGGGCTTGAGACTCGTGCAGGCAAGGTGGACATTCGGCGGACGAAAACTCACCCGACCCAGGCCCCGGCTGAAGCTATCCAGGCATTTGGAGTTGAGCCCATTTTGAATCGAGCTGCTGATTGTTGTGTTAATGAGGCGGCCTCCAGAGGCCAGCTGTGCCCTGAGGTTGTGGCCTCCTTGGCCCAGTTTGGTATTCAGCAGCAAAATATAATTGCGAGTTTGGTGGCCGTCCCAAAAAGCGACTTCACACCTGTGAGCGGGACCAATCCAACCGGACAAATTTGAAGGCTGCCCGCAGAGATCAAGCGCCACTGCGAACGGCGACCGGGGGATGGGATGGTGTGAATTCATACTTAGGATGGACGATGGGGCAGAATCGCTTGCACATAGCAAGGCGACACAATTAGCTGTTCAATTGTGGGGGATGGGGGAGGGGAAGTGTATCCGATTGCTCTGTTGGAGACTTCACAAATACTCGCGCTGAGCTGTCAACTCCAATGCTCGCGCAATCATCCCGCCCACCAGCCAGCAACTTGGTTTGTAAAACCCATGAGGCGGCGATTGCGATGAGTGCTTGGAATTGGCTGGTGCGCCTCTGCGGCCGCGCTAGCCCGCGCGCGCCAGCGCGAGGCAACGGCCAGCTTGTTTGGCGCGACCGCCGCGGCCGCGGTGTCGCTGACCGCTGGGCACTTCCCAGCGGGCACTTGCGTGCGAGTCGGCGAGTTGGGCGGGCGCGTCAACATGGCGACGTCGACAATGGTAGACGTGATGGTGGTGATGATGCCGACGCTGGCGACGATGAAGACAACGACGACGGCAAGGCCCGTAGCGGCGCCGATGCTGATCACGCCGAGGACGGTGACGGCGTCCTCGCGTCGGTGATGAAGGCGTTGGAGGGAGTTCGACACGCGCGCGTGGCCGACGTGCGAAAGTACGATTTATTTGACACGGATCGCCCCCCTCCCCCCCAGCGCGCGCGCAAGGGCGTCCGAATGATTTCGACGTGCGGCGCGAAGGGCCCATAGGGCAGACATTGAATGAACAGGTTGAAACGCCTAAGGGCTTCACAAGACGTCACAGAACGCGAACGCAGGCATTTTTGAACACGGATATCGCCAAACAGTTGATTGCACATATGTTTTCAGGGCGAACGATCTTGACACCCTCACGACACCTAAGGTTTTGGTAAAATTGGCACGCGTGCGCGACGACGCGCGCGCGCGTGCACATTGCCCCGCTGTTCGCGCCGGAGTACTGCGACAGCCCGCGCGCGAGGGCATTCGAACGTTTTCGACATGCGCGCTCGAACGGCCCACGTGGTAACACGTCATGGTAACGTTTAAACACCTATGGTTTGCTAAACACTTTGCACGAACCCGAGTCCATGTGCTGTTATGTTTTCGGAGCGCTCCATTCAGAAATCCGTACGAAGCCCACGGATTTTGAACGATTTCGGCACGCGCGCGAAACGACGCGCGCGCGTGCACTTCGCCCCGTTTCTTGCCAAGGGTTCTGGCAAAACGAAGATACTTCGGAAACGACTTCGCGCGAATTTTACTTTTTGCAAAAAGGATGAAGGGGGGAGCGGATGCCGGCCTGCCTGGGATGGTACGGGTGCATATTTAGGATGGATCATGGGGCAGGATCGTGTGTAGATTGCAATGCGAAATCGTGAATCGCGAATTCGGGGGGTGGGGGGGCGTGAGCGGGACGGAGGGGTGGATCCTCATACTCTTTGAGAAAATAGAATCTACGCGGTGCATTTCACCCTGCCGAACGCGAATTTGCCAACTCCACTGCTCGCACAATCGTCTACCCTCTCACCCGCAACTTGGTTCACCAAGCCCATGCGGAGGCGATTGCGATGACTGCTTGGCGCTGGCTGGCGCGACGCCGCACCCGCGCTAGCGCAGTCTGGCGCGACCGACGCGGCCGCGGTGGCGCTGGCCGCTGGGAACTTCCAAACGCATCTCGCCCCCCGCGCTGACGCGCGGACATTTCCGTGCGAGTCGGTGACTCGGGCGAGCGCATAACCATGGCGACGTCGGCAACGACAGACGCGATTATGACTTTAGCACTGCTGGCGACGAAGACGATGACGATGACGACGGCAAAGCCAATGACGATGGCGACGAAGACGATCACGACGATGACGATGATGGTGTCCACGCGTCGGCGGCGAGGTGTTCGAAGGATTTCGCAAGGCCGCGCGGCCGACGTGCGCGAGTGGCCCACATGGCATTCCTTAACACGGATTGTGCCCCTTCACCACGCACGCGAGAGCGTTCGGCACGCGCGCGCGAGAGGCCACTTTGATCGCATGTGATGAGATGTTGAGAAAGCAATGGTCTCCTGAAGGGCATGCAAGAGCGAGACCGTAGACTTTTCAAAAACCACGGTGCGAAACCAATTGCTTGTCTTGTATGTTTCGGGGCGCCCGACTTTGAATCCCGTGCGCTTTGCGACGAAGCGCGCAAGTGTACGTCGTCGCGTCTTTCGCACAGGATCCTGCATATAGGTGATTTTTTATATGCGACTTTGCGCGCAGAGCGTTTTCGTAAACAATCGTGGGCGTTGTCAACCTCATACCTAGAATGATCCGTACTGCACGTCCCCAGGCGGGATCGATAATCCCGGCCTCGGGGGGGACGGTTGATCGTATTTTTTTGCAGATGGCTGACAGTACACCCCCATAGTAATCGTCCCGATAAGCGAAGCCGTTTAGTGAACGCACCCAAGGAAGGAATCGAACAGGGCATGGCTGTTTAGCACACGCCCAGGGCCGTTTAGTGAACGTCAATTGTCGGGTCCTGGTGGCTTTTCCTCCCTTGATTCTGAGAGCGGTGAATCTACGTTGCTCAATCTAGGCGGGGGAATATGTGTTGTACGATATGCTGTTTATTGTATGCGATACAGTGTATGTTGTGCACCCAGCGTGGTGCAAGATAGGTTGTGCAATTCTATGTGGAGCGTTCCGCGTGGTGCAACCCCTAGCGTGCACCAGTCTATGTGTTGCAATACGTGTTGTGCAGCCCATGTGGTGCAACCGATGTTGTGCAATATAGATGATGCAATCTACGTGGTGCAATATATGCGGCGCAACCTATGTGGTGCAATCTATGTCGTGACATGTACGTTGTGCAACATATGGGCTTCAGTCTCTGTGCAAATTATGTTGTGAAATATTGAGGCCTTTTTCTATGTGGTGCGCTCTATATTGTGCAGTCTAAGTTGTGCCAACTAGGCCGATTAGTGTATGTTGTAGAATATACATTGTACATGCTGACTCGTGCATAAAATGTTATGCCATCTATGTGGTGCAAGCTATGTTGCGCCATTCGTGTTGTTCAATCTATGAGGAGCAATCACGCGGCGGCGATGGGGCGGTGACGGCGGCAACATGGCCGCCAGAGCGGCAGACAAACCCCGACGACGGGCTGCGCCGAAGCGGAAACGGGGCGGCGACGGCGGCAACATGGCCGCCAGACAAGCAAGCAAACATGCCCAAATTACGGACGGCGACGAAACGGAAACGGGGCGGCGACGGCGGCAACACAGCCGCCTGACCAGCAGAGAAGCCGAAACGACGGGCGGCGAAGACGCGGCGACGGGGCGGCGATGGAGGAAACACAGCCGCCAGACAAGCACACAAGCCCACGCGACGGGCGGCGACGAGGCGGCGACGGTGCGGCGACGGCGGCAACACAGCCGTCAGACCGGCAGACAAGCCCAAGAGCAAAAGTAAAAACCCCGAAATGCAAACAGTATATGGGGAAAACTAACGAGGCACTCTGGCAGAACGCATACGATTGTATACGCACTTCCCCACTGCACGACAGATGTGGCCAGGCCAATCCCTTGACCTGGATTCGGTTGATGTACCCTCCTGGCTCCCCTCTCCTCATCCCTCTCCTCCTCCCTCCTCGCTCTCCTCCCTCTCCCCCCCTTTGCTCTTTGCCTCCCTCGAACTCACGAAGGCGTTGCAACTGAATGCGCTTGGCGGGGCGCCCGCCTAATTCACGGATCGCTCTGTCTGTAGCGGGATGGTACCGAAGGGTCTGATTGAGGATTTTGCCCTAACCTCTCCTCCTCCTCCTCCTCCTCCTCCTCCTCCTCCTCCTCCTCCTCCTCCTCCTCTACCCCCCCCGGCAGTCCTCCGATCCACTTCCTTCTCCTCCTCATCCTCCCCCTCGCGCGGCTGCTTTCGAGCCAGAACAATGCTTTGGGGCGCAGCCTAATACCAGCCCTGCCGCCGCTTGCCACGGAGGGCACAGGTGTACTCCAGGGCGTCCCCTCCTCGTGTCCTCCCCCTCTCCCTCCCAAAACGTACGCGCCGTCTCGCCCCGAGCTCCGACGCAACGATCGTTCCCTTTCTTCTTTCCCTGCCCCTCCCTCCCTCCCGGTCCGCGCCGGGCTGGGTTGGGGCGGGCCGGGCTGGGGTCCTCTCCTGTCTCTTCCCTTCTGCCCTCCCTCCCCCTCCCTCTTCTTCTTCCCTCCCTCCCCCTCCCGCCGGGGAGGCCACCCCCGGGGGCGAGCAGGGCGGGTCCCAGGTGGACGACAACGGCCGCCGCCCTGCCGACGTCTACCTGCCGCGGTGGCGCAACGGCACGGCGGCCGCCTGGGACTTTGCCGCCACGTCAGGGTTGCGCGCCGATCTCCTCGCCGCGTCGGCCGCTTCGTCAAGCGCAGCGACGGAGCGGTACGAGGAGTTCAAAAGGCAGCGCCAGGACACCGCGCGGCTCTGCGCGGCACAGGGCTTCACTTTCCTCCCCATGGTGGTGGAAGCCCACGGCGGCGGGCGGGGCCGCGAGGCACGCAGGGCCTTCGGGGTCCTGGCCAAGCGGGTGGCTGACGCCACGGGGGAAGACGCCGCACTGGTTGCGGACCAACATGCCCAGCGACTTTCCGTCTCCCTGCACAGGGAGAACGCGCGGGCGGTGTTGCGGCGCCTTCAGACCCTGTCTGGAGGGGCGGGGGTGGCAGCGGCCCGCCTGGCCGCGGCCACGGCGGCCTCCACGGCAGACGCCGTGTGGGGTGCCCCCTGCGCTGCCTAGCGCACCCCGCCACCCCCCCCCCCCGCCCTTGCTGGGCAGCGCGGGCGCCCCCCTCGCCCTTTCGCCAACGTCGCGCAGGCGACCCCTCCCACGCGCCGCCCGGCCTTTCCCCGGCGGGGCGGTGGATGGATCCCGCAGAGGGCAATCCCCACCAAGCCGCATCGCGCTGGGTTCGGGCGGCCACCCCGCCCAGGTCGCCGCCGTAGGGTCCGCAGCCTCGTCGCGGGCGGCTCTTCTTTCCCGGCCCCTGGCCCGGCCTGTCTGCTTGCGGCCGCTGCTTTCTCTCCTCCTTGTCCTCCTCCCCCTCCTCCCCCTCCCTTCGCTTCTGCTCGTTGCTTCCCTCCCTTTCCTTTCCTCCTGCTCCCTGCCTGCTGTCTCCGCCTGGCCCGTCTTCTGCCTGCCCGCCCGCCCCGCCGGCCCTGGCCTCCCGCCTGGGCGTTCGTCGTCGTCTGCCTGCTTCTCCCCTCCTCGTCCCCTTCCGCCGGGCAGCACAGCCTGCCCGGAACCAGCGTGGCGGCATAGAATCGCGGATCTCCGCCGCCGAACGAGGCGGCGCCGGCCGCCATTTTAGGGAGGGAACACCGAATCTGCTGCATGCCGCCGGTTGCGGCCCGGCCGCCAGGCGCCAGGCGTTTTGCTCGATACATCGGTCTTCCCTCCCTCCCCCTCCCTTCTTCCCTCCCCTTCCTTTCTTCCCTTCTTCTTCCTGTGGAGGGGGCCGCCCGCCCACCGCCGGCCGCCGACCGCCGCCGGCCGCCGACCGCCGCCGCCGCCGCCGCCATCGTCGTTCGTTGTCGTCGCTGCTGTCGTCGTCGTCTGTGGTCGTCGTCGCCGTCGCCGTTCGGATCGAGGCCGGCCTCTGGCGCCTCTGCCGTTCCCACTGGCCTGCTCGGGCGGGGGTCTCCCGGCGGACGGACCAGGCGCGCCGTGCAAGTATTTTTCCCAGGTTTTCTGGAGGAGACGCTGCCCAGGTTTTGCCCAAGTTTTCTGGAGGAGACGCTGCCCTGCCGCTGGCCTGGCCTGGCCGTGGGAAGCTTTCGGCAACCACACGCGTGCCAGCCGGAGTCCGCCAGTGGCCTGAACATCAGCCTCCAGAGGTCCGCGAGAACTTCTTTGGTCGGCGCAAGGGCCCCGTCGCCCCTAACGTTCCTGGCGCGCCGGCACGAAAAATCCGCGCGGCCCTTCGATGGTTTATTTGTCTGCGTCCTTCCCTTTGTTTTCTTTCTGGTGTTTCCGCCCTCGTGTGTTCCGTGGATGGATCTTGCCTGGTGGTTGTCCCTGGAGGCCCGTGTGGGCCCTGTGGGATTCTGGCGATCTCCGCAGGCCCTGGGGGTTTCTGGAGGCTCCAACCGGCTCTGGGAAGTTGGCGGCCTCGTTTCCCCCCCCCCCCCCCCTCCTGTCATCCCTTCCTCCCTCGCGGTCACTTCTGGCCGTGGTGGGTTGGGTTGGGCGAGGGATGGGCTGGGCCCTCCTCTCTCCTTTTCGAGCGCCCGATCAGCCCCGCCCTCCACTGGCTCCCAGAGTTTACCATTTCCCACTCGGCTCGTCCTCCTTGCGTGCGCTCCTCCCCCCCTCCCCCCATCCGTTGCTGGAGGGTGGGGTTGGGCCAGGCTGGACTCGTCGAGGCCAAGCAGTGCAGGACTGCCCCCTTCCCCTGGAAATTGCTCTACCCGCCTTCCTTGCGACGCCGAGCCTCGCACCCGCGTCGTGCTATGGCAGGGCTTCGGTCGAAAGGTCACGCAAGAGCTCCAATCGCCGAGGGCCCCTCCTGGCCCTCCCGCTTGGCCAGCTCCCACTTCTTCGGCTCAGCTGTTGCCCGGCCCGCGACAACCTGAGGTCGGGGTGGATCTGGACGGAGATCACCCCGCCCAAAACTGGTCCACCCAAAACGACCGGTCCGAGATTTCCCACTCCATCCTTTCTAGCCAACGACCAGGTCCCCAAAACGACCGGTCCGAGAGTTCCGTCCCCGAACCGCCCAGAGATGTCCCACTCCTATCCTCTCTCCCCGCCCAAAATGCCGAGGCAGGCTCTAGCTGCCCGAGGGAACCTGGCGCCCCCCACGAGAAGGCGGCCACGCACGAGGCCACCGCGCCCTCCTTTGGAGGACCAACACAATCTTCCCTCCTCCTCCCTCCTCCCTCCTCCCTCCTCCTCCTCTCCCTCCTCCCTCCTCCTCCTCTCCCTCCTCCCTCCTCCCTCCCTCCTTTGGAAGACCAATACAATCTTCCCTCCTCCCCCCTTCTCCCTCATCCCTCCTCCCTCCTCTTCCTGCTCGCTTCGTCCTCCTGGCAGGCAGGCCCGGGGGCAGCGCTGTGCTCGCTCCTGGCCACCCGCTCCAGGGCGGCGTCGACCATCAGCGTGGCGTTCTGGTGGAACCACTGCCTCCGTCGGCCCGGAGGGACCCCCCCCGAGGGCAACGGCGACGGCGACAACGGCGAGCGACGGCGGCTGCGACGGCGAGCGCCGCGAGGCGGTGGCGACGGCAACCACGCTGACGACGACGACGACGACGACGAAGACGACGACGACGACGACGACGGCGACTGGTGGAAACAGTGCCTCCGTCGGCCCGAAGGGCGGACTGGCGGACCCAGACCGCTGGTAAGCTGGGGAGGTTTATGGCCTTCTTTCGGGGCGCGAGGCTTATTTGCGGGGGGCCTCCTCCTCCCCTTTCTCCTCCTCCTCCTCCTCCGCCTCCTCCCTTTCCTCCCCTTCCCCTTCCTCCTCCTCCTCCTCCTCCTCCTCGTCTTTCCCCTTTTCCTCCTCTTTCTCCTCCTCCTCCTCCTCCTCCTCCTCCTCTCCTTCCTCCTTCCTCCCTCCTCCCTTCTCCCTCCTCGTTCCTATCTCCTCCCCTCGTCCTCCTCTTTCTCTTCCTCTGTCCTCCTCCTCCTCCCTCTCCTCCTCCTCCTCTTCCTCCTTCGAAGCGCGACTCTTTGTTTGGGGTGACCCCAAAGAGGGTCCAGCTGAAAGGGGGTGGTGCAATAGATTTGGGGCAATTGTATTGCAAATGTGTTGCGCCGGAGAATCGTATTGCATTATACTGCAAGTCATGAACTGCACGCGAAAATCCAGCAGTACAATTGCGCCCTGGGACGTAATGCACGCCCAACAGGTTTTGCGTCCACACAAAATCTATTCCACCAATCCTGTTGCACCACCACCTCGTCGCTGGACACCCTCTTGGGTCAACCCGATGTGTGAGGATCCCCGCGCGCAGGGCGTCGGGGCTTACTCCAAGAAGGCGCGCTTCGCGCCCAGGCAGCGGCTGCGGCCGCGCGGTGAGAAGCGATGCTTGGCCTGATCACGCAACAACGGAGTGTACCGAACGTGCGTATGCATCAACACTGATGTGTGTTGGATGCGTTTCGTTTCGTGCGTCTACATTTGTGTTTGTTCGAGCGGGTCTTGGGAGGCCTCTGGGTGGCTCTGGAGGTGGAGGGGTCCGGAAAGCTCTGGAGAACACCTCCTCCTTCGCACACCCAAACTCCAGGATACAGCGTAAAACAAACTACATGCTTGACGTAATTCTTTGGGGCCTCTGGAGGCCACCTGGGTGGCTGCGGGGGAGAATGCGTCTGGGGAGCTCCAGAGGCCTCTTGGGAACTCCTGGAGGGCGAGGAGGGCCCCGCCGAGGCGGGGCTCGAAGGTTCGAGGTTGCGGCTGTCAGCGTTAGGTGGGGCCCCGTGCCCCGGCAGCCGCAGGCCGAGGGCCGCTGCCCGCTCTCACGCGGGGGGCGGGAGCCAAGAGGACGTGCCGCTCCCGGCCCCCCCTACGGGCATAACCGCGCCTGCTTCTGAGCGCGCGGGGGGCAGGGCGAAGATGACGGGGGAGGAGGCGGGGGAGGGGGAGGAGGAGGGGGGGGACGGGGAGGAGGCTTCAAACGTCCGTCAACGGCAAAGGGGAGCCCGGTTGGCCCCACCCTGCGCAGTTCGACGCCTCCAGGGCTTTGCTTGCACGCTAAAAATGGGTACAGAAAAATGGGTACGATGTCCAGCAGCAGATGTTGTCCAAAACCGACAATGGCCGCTGTTGGGCAGGCGGCCTTCCGTCTCAAATGGACGACGCCCGCGGCGACACCGACAGCGATTCCCGTTCAAAATGGATAGGAACAACTGTTGATCTTTGTACCCATTCTTTCCGTACCAATTTCGGTCGTCCCGAAAGGCGAGCAGCCCGTAAAAAACGCCAGACGCGCCAACCCGGATAGGAGCGGTCACCAACGCCCCGGTAGCTCCCACGCCCGCTGAGTGAGCGCCGCCGGCCGCTGCGGGGAGGGGCGTGAGAGCGCGCGCATGCCGCCCGTCAGAGACACACCTCGGATGCGTTCGAACACGCCTCCGCGCGACACGACCAAGAGGAACCATACTACAGCGCAGGGCCAGCCAGCACCGCCCAGACCACACAAGCCGGAACACGCCCGCCACGACCGGGCGACACACGAGCAGACCAAGCAAATGGCCCAACCAGACCAAACCTGGCGCAGCCCGACGAACACGGGTCGAAACCCAGACAGCCAGCGATGCAACACGACCAGGGGCGAGAGATCGGCCAGGACCGCGGCGAAGCCCGCACGCCCCACACCGATCCTTTCATACCACCAGGACCTTGGAAGGAGGCTGCCTGGCAGATGGTATTCTGTCCGGCAGCAGAAAAGGGCGGGAGGAAAGGGACAACTAGGGGCGCGCCTCTTCCTTCCACCGAGGACCGCAACGGTCGTGCTTGGATCGTCCCGGTGCCCAGAACGGCCCCCCGCGAGCCCAGGCCAGAGAGTGATGAATTTTGCGTGATGCCAGAAGCCTGGGCTCGGGAGCCAAAGATCGACCCCTGGACCCGTCCAGAAGTGCGCTTTGGCCCGAATTTCAGGGGAATCCAGCCGTGGCGTTTACCCCCCCCCAGGAGGCTAACAAACATACAAAAAAAACGTTCACAACGAAACATATGTTTACCAGCGCTGACCCGGAATAATAACTCGTGGCGCTGTGGATGTGTACGTTACGTCGTGCAACGGGCGGCAGCATGGCGAACCTTCGCCAGACCCACCCCGCGCACGGTGCGGTAACGGGGCGGCAACGGACGGCAACGTGGCGAATTTTCGCCGATCTCTTGGAAACGCGAGTGAGAACACTCAAGTGCAAACCTTGTTGGGGGAATACCCCCTCCCTCGGAAGTTCGGGGATCTACTGGCCCGGGCCACTGCAAAACAGGGTGAGTCGGGTTTTGCAGGATCCTGCAGGATTCTGCGCGCCAGCCTGGGCCAATGCAGCCCTGGCTCGGCAGGATCCTGTAACATCCCGCGCTCTGGTTAACCCCTGTTTGCGATGACCCCCGTTTCAAGGCTCCCCCGATGTCAGCTTGTGATTAACCAGTCCGTGGGGAGCGCGTGTTTTAAAACATATTTTCCCTGCTCGGGCGAAGGGTGGCGCCCGCCATATTGAAAATCAACAGCGGCGGTGCCAGTGATTAGCGCCCACGCCCGGCCACCAGCGAGAAGGCGAAAGGCAGCATAGACGGGGGGAGGGGGGGGTAAGCAAGGGCGAGCCTGGGCGCCCCTCTTTTCTGCCGAACAGATGCGCCAGGGTGGCGCCAGCTGCCCCGCGAACCTGCGGGCAAGGCGGGCTGGACGAAACGCGGGCGTGCCAAAGTGGGGATCTGCCAAGCAGCTCACGACGCTGATTTTCCAAGCGCCCCCTGGCGCCGAAGGCGGCCACGCGTCCAGGACTGGCCCTCGGCGGGGCGACCGGAACCAGCTGCGGGCAGCAAGTTTCGCAATCTCCTTTTCCTTCCCTGGGGCTTCGTCCGACCCGGGCAAAGCGGGCAGTCCTTCTCCCCCCATCTATGGCGGTCGATGTCGCCACCGCCGCTGCCGCCGTCGTCGTGGCCGTCGTCGTTGGTTTCCTCGTCGTCGCCCTCGCCGTCGCCGTTTGTTTCCTCGTCGTTGATTATCCTCCCTCCTCCTCCATTTCCTCCTCCTCTTCCTCCTCCTCCTCCTCGTCGTCCGCCTCCTCCTCCTCCTCCTCCTCCTCCTCCTCCTCCTCCTCCTCCTCCTCTTTCCTACTCCCCCCCCCTTGGCGCGCGCGATTACAAAAACAATGTCGCGCCCCGCAGGGTCGCTTCATCTACCCCAGGGAGGGGCACCCATTTGTTAATCACAAGCTGACATTACCTCCAGGGTCCTCAGGAAAACTCCGGAGCAGCAGGAGGAGGAGGCGGAGGAGGGGGCGAGAAGGAGGAGGAGGAGGAGGGGGAGGAGGAGGAGGAGGAGGAGGGAGGGACAGAAGGAGAAGGATGAGGAGGATCAGGAGATGGATGAGGAGGCGGAGGAGGAGGAGGAGGAGGAGGAGGAGGGTGCGAGGGGGAGGAGGAGGGGGAGGAGGAGGAGGAAGAGGAGGAGGATTTTTTCCTCGGGGGCCCACGAGGCAGAACAGAGCATTACCAGCCAGAACCGCACGGCAGTCTGACGGGTGCGGCAACGCAGGAGAGCTCCGACTCTCCCCTAGCAACAAGCCTTAACCCGCAGGACTGCCGCGGGTTGAGGGCCGAGGTAGCACTCCATGCTCCTCCAAGGCCCGAGCTGCATTCTCCTCACGTGCTCTGACTCGGGCCGCCAGCGCCTCCAAAGAAGGTAGGAGACGCACGCCCGAGTGCGCGGAGGCACTACCAGTAGTGGCTGCAGGCAGCAGCACGTACTTGGCAGAGGCGCGGCAAGTAGCGCCAAATCCTGCAGCTACCGTCTCCTCAGATCTGTAGTGAGGATGGAGACCTTGACGAATTCGATGGAGGGCGCCCCTGCCACTCGGTCCAGGCTTCCCCATTGCACCTCTCGCCGAGACGGAAGCATCTCTGGCTGGTGAAAGCTCCACATCTGAAGCAGAAAACCAACATCTCACACTCGGCGGTCTGGCGCAGGGACGAGCACAGGAGGTGGCCTCGTTCGCTCTCCGCGCCTTGTAGGCGACGCAGTGCCGTGGGGAGCCCGTTGCACCCTAGCATTGGCCGATCGTCGCCATATGACACCTCGAAACACCTGCTGCATCGGGCTACACTTTCCTGGGAGCTCTCGTCGCCAGGGTCGAGGATGACCCATTCGTGCCAGCTAAGGGCACGCGGGGGAGGCATCCTGGGGCCCGTCTTTTCCCGACGAAACTCGAGCTTCGGGAAACTGGAAAGCACTGCCGCAAACATCGCCACAAGCTTGCGCAGTTTGACAAAATCTTGATCCAGCCTCTCCAGCTCATCTGGGGCCAGACTGGGGTGAAAACTCAGCGCATGCTTCGCCAATCTGTCCGCATCGGCGCTGCCTAGGGCAATCTTCCGCTCGTGCGGTGGGAGTGCTGCGATCACCCCTACGGAACAATGTGCAGCCACATGTGAAACCGAGATGATGCTAGCCTGGCCATCTTCAGCTAGGGCCCTTCTTCGGATGCCCGCAGCGCAGCAGGGCTAGCGGAGGCCAACCTCACCGCCCCCAAACAGCCGCTGCGCACATCACTTCGTCCCGTGGCCAGGCAGCTAAGAGTCGCAATCCCCAGGTTTTCCTCCAGACTGCGCCGTCTGGGGAAGGCCTGGCCACACCGTGCCGAGAGCGCGGGCCTTTACTATGTAGTCCGTGCCTGGGGCTAGGAAAACAGCAGCATAGGTGGCCCGATTGAGCTATCGAAAAACTCCTGTGGCGGCAGACCCATCCACCACGATCTCCGTGTCGAGGGTCAGTCTACAAAACTCATCGATCGTTAATGGCTCTCCCTCAGGCCCATGGAGGACGGGGTCGAGATCCAAACAAGGAGGAGGGGGAGTGGGCTGAGCCATTATCAACCGAGACCAAAAAAGCAGTCTGTCGGGCGAAGCCGCTCTCGCCTCGGCGATTTCTTCTTCGGACAGGTGCTCTCGCCTAGCCGCCTGGGGCTCAGGGCTATCGCAGAAAAAAAACTGTCTGTGGACCAGGGGTCAGGCTGACGACGCAGCGGACATACACCGTCGTGAACGTACCCCGAGGATCTCAACCTGCCCCCCGTCCAACAGGCCCCAGAGAAAACTGCACTCAGCCAGATTTTTTCACGAGGGGAGGCGCGCTTGGACCGCATTACTCTTTGGAGCGGGTCCGAAGCTACTCTGTCAGCACTGAACTCTGGCAAAGCCTGCGCCATACGGGGCCCATGTGATCTCTGAGCTCCCCCCTGCAGCAACTGATTGACCAATGCAGGCGCCGTGTAGAGGAGATCGATTACGTACCCTCGGTCGTCGCGCCACACTGTGAAACTTGTGGCTGTCCAGCATATGCTGTGTAGGCTCAACAACATGCGGTGCATGGGCCCCCGAGATAGCTTCCAGCCCGAAGGTTCAAGAACAAGGGGTTGAGCTTCCACCGCGCCCCGCCATATCTGGATGTGTTCCCGAACAGATAAAGGCGATGACCGCGGCTGGGTGATGGACCTTCAGACGCTCGAGGCCCATTGGGCCGCTGGTGCAACCGCCTGCTTCCACGCTGGGTCACCATGCAACACCAATTTGGCAGTGAGGGAGGCACCTTTGTGTGCTGGGCTGCGTCCCGCCCTTCAAGTACTCTGGAGTGCCCGTAGTTCGCCGTCCGCAAAACCGAGAATCATGGCTCCGTAGCCAGCTGCAGGACGAACTCCAGCAACATAAATCTTAGACATTCTGGGCTTGTCCCGTGGCAGTCGTTTGCGGTAGAACGACAAGAAACGGTGCCTCTTACGCATAGCTCGTAATCGTTGGTGACGCTTGTGTAGTCCTCCTCTGCATCATCCCCTCTGGCCTGGCGCTAAATCTGCCCCAAGAGATACTACTGCATTCGCGGCCACAGACGGACCACAGACGCAGCGCACGCGGCATGCCCAGTTCTGATTACGCCCACAGTGAGGGCAGCCCCAGCAGGGCTGCCGCGGACCTGGGAGCACCGCCTCATCGTCCTTGGCCATGGGACCTGCCGATGAGGCGTCGTGGATAGTTGGAGGGAAAAGGTCCCTCAACCTGCGTACCGAGCCAGAAAGACCCGCAACGGCGACTGCCACTTCGAAGACGGCCGTTGCAAGCCCAGAACTTCCTGGGCCGAAATGGCTGGAGGAGGAGGAGGAGGAGGAGGAGGAGGAGGAGGAGGAGGAGGAGGAAGAAGAAGAAGAAGCGCCATCACGATGTGATATGAGGAGGAGGAGGAGGAGGAGGAGGAGGAGGAGATGAGGATGAGGAGGAGGAGGAGGAGGAGGAGGAGGAGGAGGAGGGGGAAGAGGAGGAGGTGTACCTCACCGAGGGAAACAAAGGGGGGGGGGCGGGGGGGGCAGAGCCAAAGACCTCCTGCATAGAGCCTGGGGAATCCGGCCGTGGCAGACCCCTCGCAGCGCGAAGGAAGCCTCGGCGGTGGCGGCGGCAGCCGCGCGGGGCCGCAGCGGCGGGGGCGGTCTCTGGGCGGCGGCGGCGCGGCTCTGCGGAACTCCGCCCACGGCCCCCCCCCCAGGGCCCTGCGCGCTCCGAGTGCTGCGAGACCACCTTCGGGGGGCCGGCTCCGCGAGGCCACCAGAGAGGCCCGTTGTCGCCGTCGTCGTCGTCGTCGTGGTCGTCGTCGTGGTCGTGGTCGTGGTCGTGGTCGTGGTCGTGGTCGTCGCCCTCCCCCCAGGCCTCAGACATCCGCCGTCGCGTTTTTTATTCGTGGCGCGCGGAGCGCTGTTCCATCTGGGATCGTCGTGTTTGGGTGGCCCTGGGACTCGAGGCGGGCCTCTGGGAGGCCCACACTGAGGAAAACGCAGGCGATCAAGATTTGCTCGTGGCGGCGCCCCCTGCCCGCTCAGACGGCCGCCCCCTCGCCCCGCCCCCTCCTGCGGATCCTCGTTCTCCTCGCCGTCACTGCTTGATGGTCCTGGGGCGCAGAAGCGCCACCCAAATGCTGAAAAACCTCTGGCATTTTTTCCGTGTCGCCAGAAGTCTGGTAAGATGGCTCGGTCCGAGCCCTGAGCCCAGATCGTTTGAGCTAGAAGGGCTGCGTAAGGTTTGCTATCGAACATTGCTTCGGGCCGTGGGGAGCATTTCTTCATTCGCGGCGATGACGGGCGTTAAGGAGGGGGGAGGGTGGGGTGCTGCGGGGGGGGCGTAAGGTGGCGTCCTCCCCGCCGAGTGAGTCTGGCACTGCAGGCCGTGGTGCCAGACGCAAAGTCAAGTTATGGTGGGGGAGGCGGGGGGGAGAGGGCTCGAAAATCTAACCCTCCCCCTTTGAAGGGGGGAGGGGGGGGGGGTTCTGCGAGGAACCCCCCCCTTTCGTGTATTCAGGGCCATCCACTGGCGCGCTTTCTCAAGTTATGGTGGGGGAGGCGGGGGGGAGGCGGGGGGACATGACGCGCGTTATGTTGGCGGCGCGCAGAAGGGGGTGGAGGGGGGGGGAAGGCTTCTTAGAAGGAGGCTGCTTCTCAGAAGGCGGCGGCCTTACATCTATACATAAGGACCGCGCCTTCTAAGAAGCAGGGGTGCTTCTAAGAAGCCTTCCCCCCTCCCCCTGCCCCTCTCTGCGCGTGGCCGATTATGGTCCAGAGAATAAGAAGAACACTCTCGTGACCAAACGGCTGGCCACCCAAAAAGAGCCAGCAGGGCGCCCGAGAAGGACCAGACAGACTCTCCCGAGGCCAACAAAAAACATTCAGGGTCGGTCGCTTCTGTTTTTTTTCTGGATCATGGGGCCGCTCTTTGGCACGACCGCTCCAAAATATGATGGCCTCAAAGCGAAAGCTCCCCGAAATTTAGCGGAGGGCTGGGGGGTAAAAATCCAACACGGCCCCGTTGTTATCCTGGTACGCAATGTGGCTTGATGATACCCGCCATGCCACCTTGCCAGCAGCACGCTACAGGCTCTCTGCGAGCGCCGAAGCTACCCCCCACGCGATCCCCCCCTCCTCCGGCGCCCCGCGCAGGATGTACCATTCCTTCCGCTCCACGAGATCTGCGCACAATGCATCCATCAACGATCTCAGACCTGCGGTGTATGATTAGCCCTCTCCTGCAAGCTCCTTCTGTGAACTTTCGGCGGGGCCCATACAGGGTGGCATGCTGAGCGTCCTCCCGTTCTCCCACGTCCTCCTGCGACATGCCATCGCGAGCACGGGTAGCGTCATAATCCACCCAATTTTTCCCTCCCCTTGCACGACATACCATTGGAAACACCCGCATCGTGAGAATGTTTCCCCTCGTCCCCTGCCTTGTTCATGCTACCGGAAGCACTCCGTCAGAGCCCTCTCCCTCTTCCTTCTAATCCCCCTCCTGGACATCTCCCCCTCCTCGCTCTCGCTCTCTGAGCGGCATCGCTAATAGCTTCTTAGCTCTTGGACACGTCGGCCACCAGTCGGTGGTCCTGACGAGGCATGAGATTTGGGGAGAGGGTTGGGGGGAGGGTGCCGAAACGCACCTCTGGGCAGGGCAAGACATCAAGTTGCAAAACCGACGAGTTTGGCTGCTGCTCCGGGGGTGGGGCGTAGGTGCTCGGGGGGAGGCCGCAACACCGCTCAACGATGTGCCGTGTACCAAACCTCGCAAGGTGGGCCCTGTACCAAATACATGTTTCGGAGCGGATCGCAATTGCGCCTCGTCTCGGCCTGCGCCGTCCTGAACGTGGTGAGCTCTGCTCTGCTGGGGACTAGATCCTCCTCTTCCACCTCCTCCGTACCCCCTTCTCCACCTCCTCCACCTTCTGGTCCTCCTCGTCCACCTTCGTCTCCCCTATAATCGACACCATGGCCGGTTCTGGAGCGCGCGTTCTGACCAGGACTTCGAAGCGAATCGAGACACGGGCGACGGGTCCATTTCAGGAAGCCGCAACAAACAAGAAGGATAGAGATCCCTCCCCAGCGGGGGACCAGAACAGGGTCAACGGGGCCTTGTCGGGCATCGCAGAGCCATCGTAGCCCAGAACATGATTTTCGCCCGCCTGCCCAGGCTTGTCAGTTACAGCAGGGCGGCATCCTGAGGCGAATCCCTCGATCCCTCTCTCTCCTCCAAGTCATCGCCCCGCCCCATCATCCCCCTTTTTCGAACTTCCGACGTCACGATTTCTTCGTGACGAGGGACCCCAGAACTCTGGGCCTCTTCCCCAGAGGCTTTTCTTGCATCCCAGGGCCCGGGCCTGCCCTCCAGAAACCCGAAATGAGGGAAGACTTGACGGCTCTTTCGAGCTTCTCGTGACGAGTGAACAGGCTTAGGTCGGGTATGTCCTCCTACAGGCGAGTTTTGCATGAATCCTAAACCATGATCATAACATACATTCTGTTTGATAAGAACAGCAAGAAACATCGTCACCAGAGTATTCTTTTAGTATTATTGAATGTTCATCTTGTAGAGGGACATGCCCGACTTAAGAATACGCCTGGGTCCCTCTCCTGAGAATTAGCTCGTGGACCTGCCCTGGTGTGCTTCCGAGGCGGATCAAGCCCCAGAGGCCCATGCAATGCCCCAAAACGCCCCGACGCTCCTCGATCCTTCTCCTACGCCACTCCTCCGAAAGCAGCTCCTCGACGCTCCTCTTTGGCCCCTCTCTCTGGCCACCTGCGCCACGGCGGCGTGAGCACCGCGGTGGGCGCAGTAGGGGCCGCCCCCGTGACAGGCGCAGTCGAGCGCTGCGAGCGTCTGGCCGCACAGGAACCACTGGAGGCGGGCACGGGCCTCGGCTGGCGGCGACGCCGTCGTTGGCGCTGTCGTCGGCGCTGTCGTCGGCGTTGCCGTCGTCGCCCTCGCCGCCATCGTCGGCGCGGCCACGGGTCGCCGCCGCCGCGGCCGTGGCCGCCGCGGCCACGTCGCCGCCGCGAGGAGCCGCGGTGGCGGCGGCCCGCTGGACCTCGGGAGGCTTCGAGAGCGGACGCCAGGCGGGACACCACAATAGCCACAAGCCGGCGAGGGCGAGCGGGGGGGGGGGAGGGCGAGGGCAGGCGGAGGGCGGCGGGGAGGGCGACGAGGGAGCGCGAGCGCGGGGCGGGGGGAGGGCAAGGGGCTGGGGTAGGATAGGGGGAACTTGGGGGTGATGGCGGAGGCCCGAGGTCGCGGCGTAGGCCACTCGCGTGGCCAGCGGCTCCCGCGCACAGGAGCGTATCAGCTGGGCGACCACCTGCAAGGCTGCTGGAACGATGAGACTCCCATGGCTCTCCCATTCCCGCGCTTTCTCCACTTCCTGCTGCTGCTCCTCCTCCGTCTCCCCCTCTCCTCCCCTCGAATATCCGGAAGAAGACGGGCGATCATGCTGGCGTGCTTGTCCGCAGGATTCCTTTGGCCAGTGGAGCACGGTGCTCTGAGGGCCACGAGCGTCTCTCATTTTACCGGCGGAGGTCAGCGATGTAAACGTACACTGGACAACTCAATGATCCTAAGTTCCATGGGCACTCGAATATGGTGCCACAGAGATAACGAGCACCCTGCTCACTTAACGTTCTTGCGACTGTTTTCGGCTGTATCTCAAACGCTTTCCCGTCCGTGCCGTTCCTTTTCCCTCCCCGCCCATGACGCAGAATCTAAAGAGCCGACCCAAAGGCTCAAAAAGGCACAACCGCATTTCCGACTCTTCCTTCTCCCGCTGTGGAATCGAACTTTCAATTTCTTCACCACCCCTGTTCGCATCTTCGCCGAGGAGCTTTCGAGGACTGTCCGACCCGACATTGACCCTCCTCCTTGCCCCCAGGCCAACGACATCGTGTTTCTTCATGGCATGACCCCCCCGATTTCTGGACCTCATGCGCAAAAATTGTTTGCTATTCCGAAGCTGTTGTTTAACGGCCCCAGAACGAGCCTCCAGAGGCACATCCCTTTTTGAAAAACAGCCGTCGTGTTTCGTGAAGCCGAGAGGTCTGGGTCTTCTTGCGATTATATAGCCCCCCATCCCCCTGCCTAACCCCAGGGATGCGTTCTGGCTATAATTTCTTAGCGAATCCAGCCGTAGCGACAAGGACTCCTCAGCAGGCCCACCCCCCAGCCCCAAAGAGAATAAGAAACACATGCGTAAACATAACTTTTCTGCGCTCCGCGAGGATTTCTTAGATCCACGCTGCACCCCCCTTCCCTGGCGCGTGGAGCGCGCCAGGGGCGGTGCCGGAGGCGCCGCTGGGGGGGGGCAAAGCGCGGTTCCAAGAAGTCCGCGCGGAGCGCCAAAGGCTTATGTTTATGGCGATGTGTTCGGTTTCGACCAAAACCAGACGCCGAACGAATCCTCCTCCTCCCCCTTCTTTCTCGCTCATTGCCTCCCGCCAGCGTACCACCCACCTCCGCTCAAGATCCCCCCCACACGAATCCCTGCCCTGACGAGTGTTATCGAGCCGCTTCCAGCCGTCGCCACGAGGACGCCTAGGGATACGCCGGTCGTTGAAAGTAGGTACTCCTGGGCTCCAAGATCCCAATCTACTTCAAGCGCCTCCTTACTTCAAGACCCGACATGCTTTGCTGTGTCTTGTTACTCTCTGGGAGGGCCTGGACCCAATCGAGTCTAGCCGCCTTCTTACGTCCTGTTTTTACCCAACTCTTACGACCGGAAGAGCGTCAAGAGGACCTCCTCCCCCCTGGCTCCAGCACGCACGGGGGAGGCGCGCGGGCCCTCCTGCTCCCAGGAGGGCGCTGGGGCCCCGGTGGCGATCTCGGTGGCGCGCGCGGCCTCGGTCAGCAAGCGACGCAGCGACGCCTGCGGCCGATGGGGGCTGCGCGCCAGGCCGACGACAACGGCCCCTGCCCTCCGTTTCTCCTCTCCCTGCCCTCCTTCTTTTCCGGGGGGGGGGGGCGGGGAGGGCAAATAGCAGTAGAGGCAGCAAGGTTGAATGGCCTAGCGAATGAGCGCCTGCGACAGCGCAAGCACTGACCGTGTGCATCGCGACACCGCGTACAGATTGAAGTTGACCAGGAAGGCGGAATTGCAGATTTATTGGTGATATCCAGTGCGAACGCATGCTTTTGCCATTTGCTCGCTCGGCTCTTGTGTGACGTATTTGCATATTTTGACTCTGCTCATGCCGTGGTACGCAAGCACCCCTAGTCCTCACACCCCTCTCTTCAATGTCCATCTCACTCTCGATCACTCCTGGGGCCGATCTTCCGTCCACGACTGTTTTTTTCGACATGCCTCGAGGCCCGGGAACATCCTTTGGAGCCCGAGAATGCCAATGAACACCCAGCGTGATTTTTGATGGTTGAGCCGCATGAGGTCTGAATCCCCCGAGGTGGTGGGCTTCCTTGCTCCGATGCCCACGCCCCGCACCCGCCCTGATCGGCGTCTCAACGAACGCGGTGCCAGGAGGATGAGCCGCCCGTGGGTCTTCCAAGGGCCCCGACCCCGCGCAGGATGAGGCATGGGCTATCCTCCTCCCCCTCCCCCTCCCCCTCCTCCTCGTCTCCGTCCTCCTCCCTGTCCTGATCCTTCCCTCCCTCCCCTTCCCACCCCATATTTGCATTGAGACCTCGTCCTCGTCTTCACCCTCATCGTCGCTCTTCATTCTCGCCTTGCTCTTCATCTTCGACGCCTTAATCCTCTGCCTTTTCCTCATCCTCGTCCTCGCCTTCCTCCTCATTCGCCACCAACTCTTGTTCCCCCTCAACATCCGCATCCTCCTTTTCGATGCCCCTCCTCCTCCTCCTCCTCCTCCTCCTCCTCCTCCTCCTCCTCCTCCTCCCCCGCCTCCTCCTCATCCTCCTCCTCCTCCTCCTCCCCCTCCCCCTCCCCCTCCTCCTCCTCCTCCGCTTCCGACCACCTCCTCCTGGTCCCGTTCCTGGTCCGATTCCAAGTCCCAGTCGTAGTCAGAAGCCACCTCGTCCTCCTCCCAGGGAGGTCTTGGAGGTGGAATTGCAGCAGGAGACGAATCGCCATTGGATGTACGTAGCCGAATCTGTCTATGCTGAGCGCACACATGGTACGTATCACAGAACCGATAGTGATGGGCAACCCTTCCCTAGGCCTTCTTCCCTCAAGATCGACCCACAGACCCATGATGGCACGCATTCTGACCAAGATAGCAGGACGAATCCAGCCGTGGCGACGTGGGACATCTCCTGCAACTCTTCCTCCCTGCTCCGATTCGACCGAACCGCGAAGAGCACCACGCCACGCACGGCGACATTTGAGCGGTGACGCGGCGGCGGGGGCTGGCGTGTCCTCCCAGAAGGCTTCTTGAGGCCCGATACCTTGTGAGAGGACCCCCTGCCCTCTGAAGAGGCCACCGCCCCTCGTGCGTGAGGGAGGGAGGGACCAGCGAGCCGCATCCACTCGAGATCAGTAGCATGAGAAAGACGAGGGCTCTCCCTAGAGGCGAAGAGGATCCCAGTACCAACACCTGAGGCGATCGGGCAACGGGGGATGAGAGGAAGGAGGTGTGTGAGAGAGAGGGAGACGTAGCGGTAGAGGTAGAGAGAGAGAGAGAGAGAAACAGAAAGAGAGAGCGAGGGACAGAGCGAGGGAGGGCGAGAGAGAGAGAGCACACGCACACGCACACGCACACCTCGTCCCGCGCCCGTTGCGCAGCCTGCGGCGGCGCGGGTGGGGCTCTCCTGCTCCGCGGCGCCGCCCAGGTCCGCGGCGTGGAGCGCGGCCCAGGGCTCCCGCGGTCTGGTCAGGAGCACCGCTGGCGGCCGTGCTCGTTTGTGGGGCAGCGGGGGCTCGGGGAGAGCCGGGGGCAGGAAGACAGGGGAGAAGCAACTGCATAAACAGAAACTTTTGGAGCTCCGCGCGGAATTCTTGGATCTGAGCTGGGGCCCCCTGGCGGCGCCTCCGGCGCCGCCCCCGGTGCGCTCGGCGCGCCAAGGAGCGGGGTCCAACGAGGATCCAAGAGACCCGCGAGGAGCTCCGACACTTTGTGTGCATGCATGTTTCTGCTTCCGGAATAAGAAGAGCCCGAGAATGCGCTTGCAGGGGTTGGCGTGTCGGGCCCGATGCTCTTTGGTTGCTGTGGCTTTTTGCCGAGGATCAGCCAGGCACATCCGACGCATCGAGCTCAACCTGCGCTTCTGTTCTTGCACCAACCTCCCACGCTTTTGGTCCGCCGACGCCCGCTTGCCGGGAGTGAAAAGGCATCATTTGAGCGACGATCAAAAACGGGTCTCACCCGCTTTTTTGCGTCGCTTCTTTGGCGGTTCCCCCTCCCCTGCGGTCCGATACATCCCATTCGGGAGACCCCCCCCACCCTGGGGGTACAAGCTCGTCAACGCACATACGGGGCCCTCGGAGACTTCAAATGGAACCCGCGTGACGGCCAAGATGCCCTCGATGCCTTCCAAGATGGCTCTAGAAGGGCTTCGACACGCTGAAGAGGCCTCAAAAACATCCACAATGGCCAGAAGTCGGTCCAAGAAGCCCCCAAGACGTCCCAAGAGGGCCGCAAGAGAATCCCAAAGAGGGCATCAAGAGGCTCGAACCATTCATTGTCGTGAATGTTTGAAGCTGTTGTCGCGTTCTCATCGTTTCGGCATTCTGAAAATCCAAGACGGCCCGAGACGCACCTCAGACCAACCCAAGCGTCCCCAAAGACGACCAAACAGGCCCTCACGACGGCTGCAAGACGGACTCGAGGAGGCCCAAGAGGGGGAACTCGCAGTGACCCTGGGAGCGCCCCCACAAGATGGCCTGCAAGACCTCCAACGCGCCCCCAAGAGCAAGAGGCCCCCCAACGGCTCCCCAAAGCCTCCTGGACCCACGAAAAGACTCCAAGCGGCCCTCCCCTAGGCCTCCAAGAGGCCCTCAAAGAGACCCCGCAACAGACGCGCATGAAGAGGAAGACGCATCGGCAATAACTACACGCAAGCAATACGACGGAAACCTACAAACAACACATACGGCAAATGAATCCGCACATCTCCCCTTCTGGGGGTCGGCGGAATGGCGTATGGCTCTTGAGTAACTCGACGCAAACGTAACAATCAACATCTGCCACATCACATGCATACTTACACTTCATTTGCGCACATTCTACGCCCTGGCGACTTAACAGAGTGTCTCAGACAATTCTGGTCCAGCTGGGCTGCATAAGGAGCCGCACGTTTCCCAGGTTTCTGGTCCCAGGAGGGACGTAACGACTGGCTCCACAGCCCCCGCAGGGATGGCCTACCCAACCGACGGAGCCGCCGGACGCAATGGCCGCTGTGGGGCAGCTGTCGATGTGATTCCACCGGCCCCGGGCGCCCACTGGCTGTGAGAGCGCAGGCTGGCGATATGCGAAGTGCCCAAACTACATACAACTTGCGCGTGCTGCAAAATACTGGCCGTTGTACTACAAGTGGTGAAGCTTCGCAACTGAATGGGACTCCACAGCCGAGTACTGGCCCCGGAAATGGAGGAAGGGGGCGAGGGGAAAAGGGAGGAGGAGGGCGAGGGAGGGAGGAAAGGAGGGAGCAGGAGAGAGCCCTCCATATAGTGGGGCATTCCATAGCGTGCCCACCCCCAGGTGCCCCCTCCCGAGCCCATTGGCGGGTTCGCGCGGCAACACAACTGGACAACGGATCGGATCGAACCGCGCCCCGACCCAGAATCTCCGTGGCCAGCGCAACTGGATAACCCATCGGATCGAAGCCTGTCCCGACACCTGGACCCCGTGGTCAGATGGATCGGCGCTCAAAAGAGGAGGGGTGAAGGTCCGGATCCGGCTGGGGATGCGCGCCCGCACTGCCGTGACAGAGGCCCGCACTGGAGAAACTGGCACGGACCACCGCCCTTGGGAAACCTGCGGACAGGCGGGGGAGGACCAGGAGCAGGAGCCGGAGGAGCAGGACGTGCGACGGGATAATCTCAATATAAGAATGGCTCGGGAGACGTCCCAGGATTTTCAGAATATCCAGCGGCCCGCGTTTCTGCAGCCCGTGTGGAACATGAGGGAATCCGTGCAACCCTGGAGATCCTGGAAATCCGCCGACCCTGTCGGCGTGTGTGGGGTGTCTGTCCGGTCCCATCGACGGGAAGCCTTCTTTCGTCCCCTCCCATCCTCCTCTCCCGTCGGGGGAGAGAGAGAGAGAGAGAGAGCACCCTTCCTCGTTCAAGGAACGGGTTCGCAGCTTGAGGGAATTCCATCCACGTCCTCACTACGTCAAAGGAAAGTCCCTTCCCTTTGTCCCTTCCCCGGCGGGGAGGAGGGTGGGTCCCGGGGGGGGGGTCAGATTCGCATCGCCTCTGGGGGTCCTCCTCTCCGACGCCGGTCCTTCTCTGGCGCGCCGGTCCTCCTCGGGTCCTCCTCCCTAAGTGGGGAGGGGAGTCAGATACGCATCCGTCCCTGGGGTTCCTCCTCCCCCTCCCCTCCCCTCTCCCACGCCGGTCCTCCTCTGGTCTTTTTTTTCAGGGGGGGATGCCCAGGGGGGAGTCCTTTTCCTCCTCCTTTTCCTCCTCCTCCTCCTTATTTCCGCCTCCTCCTCCTCCTTCTCGTCCTTCCCCTCCTGGTCGTCGTCGATGCCTTTCAGAGTCGGCGGCACTGGCCGTTAGGCCTTCACAATCTTGGAACGCATCGTTATCTTGACCTCTTGCTCCTCAAAGGAAGAGCAGGAGCAGGAGGGGGGGAGGAGTGGGTCCATCCGAGCGACGGCAACGCCGATCAGCTGGCAACCTCCTCGACGCGCCGCCTCTTCTCGGCCGGCACAGCGGCCCCCTTAGCGACACCAGCAAGGCTGCCGCCCCCACCCGCTACCTCCTCAGGGGCCCAATCGAACTGCACCATGATGACGGTCAGATTGTCCCCGCTGCCTCGCTTGTACGCCTCCTGCACCAGCGAGCCGCAAGCCTTGCGGATATTCTCCTGCTGGTTTTCAGGGTCTCGCTCGAAAGCGAGTTCGAAGATTACGTCGTCGTTGCGCATCACGTCGGGAATCCCGTCGCACACGAGGGTGATGAACTTGTGGGACCTCTCAAGTTGGAAAGCCCGCACGCTCGGCGATGCATCCAACAGGGCCTTTCCGGTGACGGCCTTGAATTCTCTATCCCCCAGCGCACGCGACACAGCCAGTGCGACAGGCTCCTTGCCTATCCGCCATCATGCCCCGAGGCACGAGTTGGAGTGTCCTCAGGTGGAGGGTGAGAAAGAGGTGGGCGTGCTGGGCCCACAGCCCAGAATTTCGGGCGCTCCTGTGGGTTAGTCGCGTGACTTTTCCAAATGCCAAGAGCGAGTTGTCCTGGACATGCATGTCCAACATGGCCTAAGATGGCCCCAAGGACCGTCCTCCAGCCTTCTTGGGCGCCTCATGGGCCGTCTTGGGGGCCCCGGAGGGCTGCCCAAGAGGCCCAAATAATAAACAAGAACATACATTCGTTGTCGTATGCTTTCATCATTACCGCCATTTAGGTCTTCAGAGCGTCAGACAGCCCAAGAGGCGCCCTAGACCGCCCAAAAATGGCCTAAGAACCCCCAAGAGGGGGACAACGAACTCACATGTTGAGCCCTCCGCCCCAAGATGGCCCCAAGATCCCCCCGGGTGCCCCCGAGATGCCCCCCCCAAAGGCCCAAGTCAGGCCTCGAGAGGCCCCGAGACGCCCCCCTGACAGCAACCGGGCACGGAGGCGCGATGGGCCGAAGGACACCGCCGCCCCCTGTTGGCTTGCCACAGGGGTGTACGGTGTGCTGGATGTCTGGGTTCTGCGTTTTCTTAAGAACTCTCAACGGGGTCTCGGCCCAACCCGGTGGCCGCGCAAACAGGCCCGCCGACTATGTTCTCCACAGGCCTCCCCACCAAAGATGGCTCCAAGATGGCTGAGATGGTCGCCAATACGGGCACCACGGCCCCGAGAAGGCCCAAGATGGCCCAAGATGTCTCCAAGACGGGCCGAGATGCCCCCAAGACGGCCCAAAAGCCTTCAAATGGTCCTACAGCAAGGTCCGAAGGAGCCTAACTCATTACCTTTTTGTTTCCATTAGGAAGTTCGTGAAGGATTTGGCATTTGCTTTCTTTTGGGCCTCCTGACGGCCCAGGAGGCCCCCAAGATCGCCACCAAAACGCCCACCAAAGCTTCCACGATGGCATCATGACGGCTCAAGGGGCCCCAAGACAGCCACATGGCAACCCTAGAGGTTTCCAAGACGCTTCCAAGACGTCCAGTCCACCCCCAGTCTTTGAGCATCGAGTGATAAATTCGAGCATCATGTGAAGATCGGTCTGCATTCCGTTTCTGGCAAGATAGTCGCGTACACAATTTAGCACAGGCGGGGGGACGGGTCTGCAGCAACGCTTCCCCACCTCCGCAGCTATTTGCCTCAGAGGCCCCACAGAGGGCCGTGCCAGCAGCACCCTGCGCACTGTACACCAGCGCTGGGTCTAGGACAAAAATGATTGAGGGTCCTAAGTCGGCCCAGAGAGGGGCACCAAGACGGCTTCCGACGGCATCAGGCGGGCCATGAGCGCCCGCGGACGGCCAAAGAGCCTCCTAGGGAGTCCCAGGGGCATCACATAGACCCAAGGAAGCCGCCAAGGGGCCCCCAGGAGGTCCCCAGGACGCTCCCAGGATGCGCGAAGAGTGCCCCGAGAGGTCTCTTCCTCCCTCTCCTCCTCCTTCATCTCCTTCTCCTCCTCCTCCTCTGTCTTTCTCCCTCTCCTCCTCTTCTTCTTTTTCCCCACCCGACGGGTTTCCACAACGGCTGGGGGAACACATAGTGCGATAGCATGGCCAAACTCTGGCCGCAACGTTCGGCCACATAGGCGCTTCCAAAAGGCAGGGGGCGGGGGTGATTGCACGCAGGCGCATTCGATCCGCCGCCCCCAGCGGCTTGCCACAGGGGTGCACGGCGGGCTGAATCCCACCAGTCCTCTGGGCGTAGATGATCTAGCGAGATTATTAGATCCTCTTCCAGAACACCTCTTCCCTTCGGGGAGGGGTGCCCTCCCCTTCCCTTCCCTGGGGTTTGTGTTGGGGGTTCCGCGAGCGGCCTAGGCGCCGAAGATGGCTCCAAGAGGGCGTCCGACGTTCCAAGATGGCCTCCAAGATGGCTCAAAATAATCGAAGATGGCTCAATCTTGTTTTCAAACATTCTCCAATGGACCTCGAATACCGCTCCAAGACGGTTATAAGTGCTCTCGGAGCCCCCACAGGAGGCCAACATCTTCCCAAAACCTGATGAGCATTAGCTATTATCGCCTTCCCGCCTTTTCGCTTGCGATTCGCGTTGGAGGCCTCAAGATGGCCCCAAGATGGCCCAAGAGAGCCCCAAGAGGGGCCCCAGAGGTTTCCAGACGACCCCAAGAGCTCCCCAAGAAGGCCCCGACAGAGGGTTCCAAGGGCTCTTGAGGGGGGACCTAGACCTCCAAGATGGCTACAAGAGGCCCTCCAGGGCTCCCCAGAGGCCCCCCAAGAGGGCTCCAAGAGGATGAACAGGCGCCAAGGACGCCCCAAGAGGCCCCCAAGATGCCCACAAGATGTCCCCCAAGAGGCTCCCAAGAGACCCCCCAAGAGCCACCCCCGAGCCCAGAGGCATCCAAGACGCTTCAAGAGGCCCCGGTGCCGCCAAGAACCCCGTTCAGACGCCCCAGCAGGCCTACAAGAAGCTTTCTGGAGACATCCGAAGAGACTCCGAGAAGCATCCTAGAGACCTCTGGCCTTCCTGTTCGCCCTCCTCTTCCCCTTCTTCATCCGCCAAATTCTCCTCTTCCTTCTCCTTCCTCCCTTTTCCCTCCTCCTCCCCCTCCTCCTCCTCCGGATCCTCCGGTTCCTCGTCTACCCTCCCCCTCTTGGGGTATGACGGCTTCCCAACCTTTATCCCACTGCGTGCTCCCCCACACGCCTGATCAGGGCAACGAGCTTGGGCATCCTTCCTGGATGGGCTTGTGGGTTCCCCGAAACGTCTACAATCTCGATATTCCAGATATACATATACTCATAGATGTGCGTTACATAGCTGGCGTACATGGATACGACCCAACATTCATCATCCGACGCAGAAAAGAAACAGTAGGTGCGCATCCGTCTGGCCCAGCCCTCGCCATCCCACACAAAAAATACAATTCGGTGAACATCCGTCCGACCCCACCCGCATAATCCTACTCCGAAACTGATTTCGGTGCGCATCTGCTGGTCTTCAGCATCGACCCACCCCCTGGCCCCGACGAGCCCCTGGGCACAAAAAGCAAGACAAAAACAACAAACCGATGGCAAGTACATGATGCAAGATTTACTCTTCGGACACCCCTCGCCGACTCCGATTTGGGACCCAAGCGCTCCCCAGGCTGCCCCAGGCGCTCCAAGACGCTACAATCCCTCCCCAAACGCTCCCAAGCGCGCCGTCGCCACTAGCAGCAACGGCATCCACATCGTCATTGTCATCGTCCTTGTCGCCGCAGGAGGCCTCAAGGAGAAGATGTAATCAGATCGCACCAATACGTGGACCACGAACGGCTTTCACCATGAGGCTCCCGCTTCGCTCACGCCGCACGCCATCGCTTCACACATCTAAAGAGGATACAGAGGGTGGGCCAGTTTCAAAAAGGGGCTTTCGCCCTAGCGCCGTGCATACTCGGCTTCCAAATTGTCCTCAGGTTACACGAATGGATGGCGAGTCCTATCCATGACGTTGGGGGCATTGGAGGAGGAACCCTTAGATAATGAATCCAGGGTCTGGAAGCCAGAACTCCAATCGTGGATCGGTCATGGATACCACCGCCGCCCTCATCAGCTAAGGAAGCCTCCTGGGTCTGCGGCCTCCTTGGCACATTCCTTAACGAACACCCCCACCGTTTTGGGGTCCCCTCCTGGCCTCGCGCACATTCGACAACAAAACCCACCATCTGCACTCACGTGTCCCGTCCTCGACCTCGAAGACCCGGCGTTCCATATTGCGCAACAACTAACATGTGTGGACAACGGTTCCTCTTTCAAAACGGGGCTCTCGGGTGAGACTTCCGCGAAGCATGCATCCACGACTTTGGCATCCTGCAACGCTTCGACGGATGGAGAACATGTCCTTCTTAAAACGGGACTATCCCTGAGCCCTCGAAGGGCTCTGGAGTGGGACTTCCGCCCAGCATGCGTCCACGACTCTGACATCCTGCAACGCTTAGACGGATGGAGGGCACGTGCATCTCAAAATGGGGCTACCCTGGACGTCCTTCCTGTGGAGGGAGGGTTCTTTGCAACAAACGCCCTCGCGACTGGCGGACCGACCGGCCGCTCGTCATTCAAGGGGATGATCCTGCAGTGAGTGGATAGGACGACTTGTATGGACTCATTACGAGGGGATTTGGGACAGGAAGGTGTACTGCAGCATCGGTTGATGCATCTTGGGTTCACTCTGGTCGTCCTCCTCCTCGTCATCCTTCCTCGTCCTCGTCCTCGTCCCCGTCTTCGCCCTCCACCTCGTCCTTGCCCTCGTAGTTCTCCTTGTCCTTGTCCTCTTTCTCTTCATCTTTCTTCTCCTGCCCCTCCTAGTCCTCTCGTCGACGTCCATCTCATCCTTCTCCTCCCCTCCTCCTCCGCATCCTCAATTCACCATGATTGCGTGCTTTGGTTCACTGTATGTGTCTACCCCTCCCATTTCTCGTCAACTCTCATGGATAGCGTTTCTGAGTATGTTTGTTGGGAAATGCGAAGCGTTATGCATCTTACGGTCCTGTTTCAAAGAATCCCACTCGGCCTTCGCCCAACCCACCGGCCACCCGGAAAGCAAACTCCGCCAAACGCCAGGGTCCCGCTTGAGACGGCCCTTGGATGGCCTCCAGACGGCCAGGATGGTCTCCCAGACGGCCACACTGGCCCCAGGAGAGCCCAAGATGGCCCCAAGAGAGCCCAAGATGGCCCCAACATGTCTCCAAGATGGGCCGACATGCCCCCAAGATGGTTTCAAGATTGCGAAGAGGAAACATCGTTGGTTCCCCTTTAGGTTGTTCAAAACGGATTCTGGCATTTCCCAGAGGCCGCCAAAAATGGCCCCAAGAGGGCCCACGGCCTCCAAGATGGCCCCTGACAGGCCAACAGGCCCTAAGACGGCCCCCAACGGGCACCAGGACGGCACAGGAGACCTTCAAGACGCCCAAGATGGCCTCCAAGACGGCCCTGAAGCGCCCAAGAGGTCCCACGTCGGCCCAGAGAGGCCCCCAAGCGGGCTTCTGACTGGCCAGGAACGCCCTCAGGCGGCCAAAGAGCCTCCCAAGGAACCCCCACAGCCCCCAGGAGACCCAAGGATCCCCCAAAGAGCCCTCCATGAGACCCCCGGGAACCCCCAGGAGGCCCCAAGAATCCTCCTCCTCCTCCTCCTCCTCCTCCTCCTCCTCCACACTGAAACAATACGAGTACTACTCTCTCTCCTCCCCTGAAATTGTCCAATCCCCTCCGCGTGCTGCTCTTTCACTTGTTTTAAACACACAGGATTGCCAAACTTGTGTCCTTATGGTTTCTTGCACTCTGATTGTTCTCGGAGTCTCAAAATGGTGTTTCCGCTGCAGCGTGGGCCTCGTTCTCGGAACGGCGCTTTGCCCCCGGCGTTCAGAATGACGCTCTCGCCCCAGCGCTGCCTACTTTTCTGGATCCGAGTCGTGCTTCATTGTGGTCACCCCCTCATTTCCCCTCCTCCTCTTGTTCCTCCCGCTCCTTCCACTCCAATTACTGCTGCTGCTGCTGCTGCTTGTCGCTTCCCAGCGCGGGGCACCTGTTTCGAATCCGAATCTCTCTTCATCGTTGTCGCCCCCCATATCTCCCCTCCTCCGCCTTCCCCTGGTCCTCCTGTTCCTCCCTTTCCTGCCGCTTTAGCTCCTGCTGCTGCAGTCCGTCCTCATCCTTGTTCCTCCCGCTCGTCCTCCTGCTCACCTGCCACCCCCTCCTCCCGTGCACGCAGCTCTCCCATGGCGCATCACACGAAGTGTTCTTCCTGTGGGAGTCGCAGGTCAGATTAGGCGCGAGCGCACCTAGCTTGACCCCTTCCCATCCCCATCCTCCACCTCCTCCCCCGCCTGCTCCTTTCCCTCCCTCTCCCCCTCCTCCTCTTCTTTCTCCTCCGCGTGTTTCTCGAAGGGTTTCCACACCGGCGGCTGGGGCAACACGTGGTCCGACAACTTGGCCAGACTTCGGCCCAACGTTTGGCCGCACGGGCGTTCCCCAAAGTCGGGTGCTGCTGGAAGTGCCCCTGGCCCACGGTGCCCCCGGGATTTCCAGGGAGGCCCCCACGGCCTCCAGATCATTCCTCACGAGGCCCTGGGAGGAGGAGGAGGAGGAGGAGGAGGAGGAGGAGGAGGAGGAGGAGGAGGAGGAGGCAGGAGGAGGAGGAGGAGGAGGAGGAGGAGGAGGAGGGGCTCAAAACTGAGCGAAAAGCTGGGGGCACCTTGGGCCAGGGGCACCCCTCGCACCCCCCGAAGACGGAAGGGCAAGGCGGGGACTCGCCGCAGGCGTCTTCCATGTCACCCAGGCCTTGGGCCTTTGCGCGTCGAATCTCGCGCACCCTCTCCTCGTAGCCCACGTGTGCTACGCGCAGCGCGCCGTCGAAGTTCACAACGGCACCGCCAGCCTTCTTCACGCGCTCTGCCTCGGATTTCAAGGACGGGCGGTGGTCTTCGGTCAGAGCCACGGCGGCGAGACCGCCTTGTGATGTCTCGCGGCACAGCAAGCACCTGGAATCACCCAACCACGCGACGAACAAACGGGCACCTGTCACCAATGAGACGACTGCGGTGGAACCGTCTGGCGCAGTGCGAAACTTCGCCAGGAACTCCTTGTCCAACTCTTCGCACGATTCGCGAAGTGCGCTGCACAACCGCTCGTCCGTCCAAGAGGAGCCACACTTGTCGGCAGACAACTTTTTCAGTAGCCGCAGGTGGAACGTCTTCGCAACGTACTCGGAGCAGGCATGTCCCTGATGCCCGTCGTACACAGCAAAAAAGCCACACGGCTGCTCCAGATGGCCGATGGGCATCTTTAGGGCCATCGCGGCCTTGGTGAGGTCGGGCACCTTCACGTGCCTTGAAGGTGGAACAGAAAGTAACACGTGAGGAATCCATTTTGTTGCCGCACAACTTCGTTATCTATGTTCGCGTATATATAGCTATGTATGTATCTATACATATATATACATATATATAGTGATTTGCCTTTTGGGGTCTTTCGAGGAGCCTACGGGCAATTTCTTGAAGGCAGGTTTGAAGCTCCTTGGGAGCCGTCTGGGGGCCTCTCTTGGATCTCTTGGGGGCCCGTAGGGTCCTCTTGGGCGGGCGGGCCCCTGGGTCCAGTCGGGCTCGGAGCCTTGAAATGTGAAGGCAGAGAGGAGGGGCCACCGTGTCCCTCGTCCACGGGTGCCTCTCCTGGTGTCCTTCTACCCATCTTGCCATCGTGTCTGGGTTGTTGGTCTGGGACCTCTTGGGTGCCGGTTTGGGTTTCTGGGGAGCCTCTGGGCAGCCTCTTGGAGGGAGTTTTGAAGCCTCTTGGGCGCCTCTCGGGACCTCGTTTGGGCCTCTAGGGTCCTCTGGGGGAGTCCTTGGGGGTCTGCTGGCGGTCTTCGGGATCCTCTTGGGGCGGAGGCCTCGAACTATGGGTTCGAATTTCCCCCTAGGGGCCCCTCTTAGGGCCCTCTTTGGGCCGTTTTGGGCTGTCCGGAGAGCTACTTGGGCCGTTTTGGTGCCCTGTTGGGCCGTCTTGGAGACCTCTGGGGCCGTCTTGGGGCTCTCTCGGGCCCTTGGGGGCCTCTTGGTCTGTCTTGGACGCTGCGAACATCAAAACACGAATTTGCTCAAATGTGCGACGTCCTACAAGAAAGTGACGATGTGTGTCTCTCCGGGCCCTCTTCGGGGGACCTCTTGGAGCCGTCTTGGAGCCTATTGGGCCGTCTTGGGGACCTCTTGGGTCGTCTCGGCGCCATCTTGACCTATTTAAGTCCTAATGGGAAACTTTGCGGGAGCTGGGGAAGCTCCGGGGAGGCTCCTCGGGGGGGGGGGAAGGGGAACTTCATGCATTCGCTGGTGGTCTTCGGCCCGGTGACCCCAACGGCCAGATTTCCAGAATATGAAAGACATGGTTCTTTACCCAACCACTATATTCGCATGGTCCCAGCCCAGATAAGAGCCCATAACGTTACAATCGTTTGGGGAGTTTCCGCCGCCGTGCCATACGCATTGTGGAGTGTCCTCACGTTCTTTCGAATCCTCAACGAATCTACGTCGATAGAATGCAGCATATGGCGTGCATTGAACTTCGCCCACACATGAATTGCCAATTCCATCGTTCGCGCAAGCGCCCCACATCCCAACCGGAACTGGTTTGGCAAATCCCTTTCGGCCGCGGCGGCGGTTCCCCATTGGAACTTGATAAGGCATCTCTACGGCCGCACTGGCGCGCGCACGCTCGCGCGCAAGGCGGCCAGCTGCTCAGGCTCAGGCACAACTGATGCGGCCGTGATGGTGCTTACTCCAGATTTCGTAATAAAAGGGAGGGGGACTGGACCCTCCAAGACAAGCCATTTCAGACCTCCCCCGTGGGAGAACCCTCCAAAACATCGTCCCCAGACCCCCCAGGCCCTCCAAGATAGCCTGGAAGAGACCCCCCCCCCGAAATGAGACCCCCCTCCCTTTATTACGAAATCTGGAGTACCGATAGGAATTTGCCAGCGCGTCTCAACGGTCGCGTTGGCCCGGTCCTGGCCGCGGCCCCAGCCCCAGCCTGGATCCCGGCCCCGGCCCTGGCCCCGTCCCTGCCGGCCCGCGGCCCCGGCCGCAGCGCTGGCCCCTGCCTCGGCCCTGGCCACAAGAAAGAACCCAACAACCTCTCAAGAGAGCCCCAAGAAGAGCTCCACAGCGTCAGCGTCCGGCCGTAAGGCTTTCCTATACCATACTGGGCCAGCGCGGGGGCTTCGCCTGAGACATCCCGACAATCTGGGCGCGAACGCACCCGTCGATCACCGCTGGTCGAAACCTCTTGTCGACACCCGTTGGGTGCCATGCCTGCTACATCGCGGTGGTCATGGTGTGCTGAAAAGAAACTCGCGAACTGGGCCATGGCGGGCATTTCGCACGAGACGTTCCCGCAATCTGAACGTGAACGGGCCCGTAGAACGCCGTAATTTCGGTAGCCTGCTGGATCGCGGTGGCCGTATGGAATCTGAACCAAAAACTTGTTTACTGGGCCCACACGGGCGTTTCACATGGTACGTCCCACAATCGGGGCGCGAATGGGCACGTGGAACATCTTTGGTCTACACTTGCTTGGGTGGCCTGACGCGGGCGCTTCGCTTGACACTTCCCGAAGAGGCTGGGCGCGAACGGAACGCCCCTTCCCCCCTCTGGAATACCTTTCGTCGACATCTCTTGGGGAGCCCAACTGTCGTGCCCGATGCATCGCCGTGATCATCAAAGGATTCCGAACAAAGGTTGAGCGACAACGGAAATTTCGCTTGAGACGTCTCCAAAATCTGGGCGCGATCAAAACCGCGGAACACGTCTCGTGGACATCCCCTTGGGTGGCCCAAGTGCCAAGTCTGCTACATAGCGGTGATCATGGGATTCTAAAGAAAGAACTCTCATACTGTACCAGAACGGGCGTTTCATTGGAGAGGTCCTGACAATCTTGGCGCGGGCGGTTCCGTGGAGCACCGCTGGTCGACATCACCTTTGAGAGCCTCAACGCTATGCCTGTAATACCACCGTGATCACGGGACCGAGCGAACATATGTGAATGAATCTGATTATGGGAGAGACTGGCTGCGAGTGATTCCCAATGCGGGAGAATCTGAGTATGAGTGAGACTGTGAGACAGTGTATGTGTGCGCGCCATTTTTGAGTACGAGTGATGTGGATGTGAATGAACCACTATGAATATACAGGAGGTCTGTGTGAGAGTAAGCCTGACATAATCTTGATATCCATGATCCAACGTGAAAATATACGATCATGAATAGATGTCCAGGTCTAAGCATGAGTGGGTCTGAGTCTGCGTGAGTCTGAGAGCAAGCGCGCCTGAATCTTACTGGACCTCTTTGGGCGCGCCAGAAGTCTCAACCGAGCACGACTTTGATCGCGTGCAAGTCTGAGCGTGAATGCGGATGGCCATGTTTGAAAATGAGCGGGTCCGACAATAGCGAATCTGAAGGGCAACGATCGGGGGGGACTGGCAGAGGGGGGGATGCATCGACCTGGAGTCGGCGATGCATCGCCGATAAATCGGCGACAGGCCCCTGATAGTGAATCCGCACCTTCCTGGGCAGTTTGGGGCAATCGGGCCCCGATCGGCGATCAATGGGCGATTGGGGGTCGATGCGTCCCCCCCTTATGCCTATCCCCCCCTATCGTTGCCCCTGAGAATCGAAAGGGGAGAAGCGAACGAGCAAGCGAGCGCGCACCATCGGCCCCCGAGGCCGATGCGCGCAAAGAAGCGCACGAGGCCTCGGCCCCCCCTCTGGGCGGCGCGCGAGACGATCTAGCGCTTCCGGGGCCCATCACGGCGCCGGACAAGGCGCGGTGGCCCCCGCGTGAATGTTCGGCGCGCCCTCGAATCTTCCCCCCCGCGCGCGAAGAAGGAGCCGCGCCGCGGCGTCAACTGCGCGTGCATCGACCCAGCCATACGAATGAATTCGACGCGCTTTGTATTTAGCTTCCCGCGCCGCGCGCTAGATCCGATCAGCCCAGGGCCCCGGCATGCCCGCTGGCTCGGCTGGCACGGATTCCCGAAGCGCGGCAGAAGGTTGCGTGGCAGCCGACGAAGCAGCACGATACGTGCCAACATGTGCGGCCGCAGGGCCCAGCCGCGGATCGCGCCGTTGCGCGCGCCTCCCACTGCCGATCGCCATTCGGATAATTTTGCGTAGCGTTCGTCGCAACTTGAAGTCCGGCCCCTTCGTCGGCGCCCATGCGGCGCTTCAGCGCGTTGCCGTTGCAGGTGCCGTGCTGTCGAAGAGGCGGAGCCGTGGAGTTCCAGGAGCACTTCTTGTTGATTTGCTATGCGCACTGGCTCACGCAGAGCCCCCGTGCAATATCAATCCTGTAACCGATATATGCGTTGTGCGTGCGGTCGAAACATGCATGCTTCTCAAAATGCTTAACAACGTGTTCATGCGGTGCAAGCTGTATCGCCATGTCTCCAACTTGGCCAGATGTACCTTTCGGGCCGCCAAATCGCTGCGTCGCGTTACTGAGGGCATTTCTTTTCTGGGTGAATCCCCAGGCCTGCCCGCAAGGCTGCGGCTCGCCAGTCCGGCTGAGATCGATCTTGCGGATAATTGCGCCATCGGCGTCGCCTCGTCTGCGCGGCGCAAATTTTCCCGGCCCCATTGCGCCGCTCGCGCGTCGCCCCTCCTGGGGGGCCTCACTTCTTTGCCCGCGCATTCCGCGCGCCCCGGGGCGCGCCCTCCAGCGCGCCGCGCGAGGTGCGGCACGGCTGGCTCGAGTGGCCCGCGCAAGCTCGAGCCGTCTGGGCCGCGCGCAGCATCCGCGGAAGTCGCGCGCAACCACACGGAACCCCTGGCCTGGCAAGCGCTCGCCCTAGATCCCAATGCTCCAAGCAGCCAGAGGCCATCTCGAAGCCGATGGCAGCCGCCCGTAGAATCTTCCGCCGTCCGCGGCAGCTCCCATGGAGCAGCGCGCCCGCGACCGGGCCATGTGTTGCGCTTGCGTTCTGCCGGAAACGGGCCTGGTCGATGCTCTGGCGTCTGCCGAGGCTCGGATGCAGTCTGGCGCGCAACGACGTTGCGACGACCATGCGCAACAAAAATAATGGTCGCAATTGGCATGCCAAGCTTTTGGTGGCGGTGTGTCTCCTGGTAAAAATGCGCTGAGGAGCTGACGTGGGCCTTCCCCGCTGTTTCGCCGCCGTTCCTGGTCATCTCTGCGAGCGCGCCGTTGGCGTCGCGGCGCTTGCCGCCGCTCGCTCGCGCGACCCGACCGCGGTGCGTCGACGCGAGAAGAGGCATGCCCCCCCCCCGGGGGCTTCCTGAGGCGCGGCGCAGGCGGTGCTCCCTGGCGATGAGCGGTGCAACTTG